ATCTGTCACTGAGCACAAAACCAAGCTTCTGCCCTGGCCGTCCCAGTCCTCTGACCTGAACCCTGTAGAACATGAGTGGAATGAACTGAAGAGGAGAAGCACCAAAATGGAGCTGTGAATCTGAAGGATCTGGAGTGATTCTGGATGAAGGAATGGTCTCTGATCTCTTGTCAGGTGTTCAACAAATTTGTTAGGTATTACAGGAGAAAACTAAGCTGTTATTTTGGCAAAAGGATGTTGTAACAATTGGGTGCCAATAATTGCGGCCAACATCAACTAGAGAAAAACATTTATTTCATAATGAGACCCCACCCCACACTTTCCATTGTTTTATTTCAATGAAAGTTTAGAATTTTGTGAATTTTTGGAATGAAAGATAAACAGAGATTTATGCAGATTTATTTTTAAAGCCATCTTTACTCAGATTTACCAAGGGTGCCAATACTAGTGCCTTTGTATGGAGGAATTGGAATACCATTTAAAAATGAAATTAGAAATCAATTAAATCAAGTATTAAAGTACTAAATCAAGTATTTTATACACACACACACACACACAGATAAATTCCACAATAACCAATATCTTACATATAGTGTTGAATGGCTGCTTTTCCAGCTGTAGACACAGAGGATCTGAAAGACATTTCTTTACACATTATAATACCATAACTGCCTGTCTGTTTGAAATTAAGAGGTTTTAAACACTTTGAACATAAATGAGTGCTTTGGACTGAAAAAGAGGTAGAAATAAACAAAGGACTTGTGGAGAGTGGAACTGTCAGCAACTGATGAGAAAAATAAACTAGATCATAACATTGGAGGAGTTACCCGTTCAAACGCATTCTCACACACACGAGGTGCTGTTTTTCCTCTCGGGGATTGACTCTGGTTGGTACCAGGCTGCTGATAAGGAGGTGCAGAGTGTTCTGTGTCCTGTCAACTCCTAAATCACACACTTTCAAGGATACTCACACACACACGCACATACATTTATCTCACAGTAAAAGGGAGAGTTCAAACAACACAGGCAAGATTATGCAAATGTTATTTTGATCATTAAAGAGACACCATGCAGAATGTCTGACATGTCAACTCTGTTTGGAATCTACTGCATTCTTGTGTGTCATGTTGCCTGTTCTGCCTTTTTAAGCTTTGAGTTTTAATGTACACACACATGCACACACTGACCACCTGTGTCTCTGAGAGCATTGCTCAGTCTTTCCATTTATCATTACACTATAACTATCTATATTCACTGACAGACCAGGTATCACCCTCCCAGGAAAACTGCTAAAGACTTTCCCATGAGGGAGTATGACATGCTATGATGAAGTCTTGAAGAGAAGAACATGTAAATCATTTCTGGTAGGTTAATTTTGTGAAGTAAGGAAAAATTTTCATTTTCTAGAGAAATAAAATAAAATAATATAATAATAAAATAACAATAAATAAATAAAATAAATACAAAATAAAAGATTCATATAAGTTATATAAGTTATTTAGCAGGCAGCTGTCTTGATAGTTTTTCTTTTACCAAAGTAAATGGGTAGTGCACCTGTCAAACTCGAATATGAACAAAAAATAACAATAAAATAAATAAAAAAAATAAAAAAGCAAAAATTAATTAATAAAAAAATTATTAATAAATTAAACTAAATTTAAAAATATCATATGTGGATTCATGGAACACAAAGTTATATAGCAGGCAGCTGTAAATAAATAAATAAAAGCAAAAATAAATAAATAAAATGTTAATTATTAAATTAAAATAGTACATTAAAGGAGGAAATTACCTAGATTAAAATACCTAGATTATTTGTGTGCTTGGATCACAAATGTAAATAATAATAATAATATATTATGTTGCAATAAATTATTACCTACATTCATAATTTTACTCATACTCATAATGGGTTTTAATGTTTTTGTCTCTTAACGTGACACATTATTGTATCTATATATCTATATACTATTCATATAGTTTGTTTATATGCTCATTAATTCATATGTTTTTAATGTGATTTATTTATTTATGTTTGTTTGTTATTATTTTTCATTTTTCGATAATTTTTATGTGTTTATGTACTTTTGGCTCTTTCCTTTTAGAAGTTTCGTCATTTGGTCATCTTGTCATATTTTCTGTTTTGTTCAACTTAAAAAAATAATAATTCTAATTGAACTATTCCTTTAAAAGACAAAAAAAAAAAAAAAAAACTCACCAACAAACTGCCCTCTATGTGAATTAATAAAGTATTTTAGTTAAACTGTCTTCATTGCAGGATGAATCATTTAGTAATATTCAAACATTTGAAGCTGCTTGCGTTTTGAGTCACAAAACGATTTCAGATAACTGGAACATGGAATGTGAGCGCTGGACATGTACAGTACACACTATACACTTTCCACATATCTGAAGAACGCGTGCCATAAATCTCAAGATCAATTAAATAAAGAAGCTTTAGAAATGGCATTCATCATGGGGGAGGCTTGGCCCTGCCCTGTCGGTGCTTGGCACGGCGTCTCAGCGCATCTAAAGAAGAGCGAGAGTGAATGAGCGCCACATTCTTGGAATGCTCTTACCTTTGTGGCTCTTTAATGAGGCAGGGTGAGCGCACGCTCTCCCTGTGACAAACCCTCGCGCCACTGAGCTAACGATAGATGGGAGGCGTGAAGCCAGACGTGAGAGTGCCGGCCTCCAGCCTTGCGACCCCCGAGCTGTTTAACATGCGATCCATCACTCACCATGCTGCGAAGAGTGTCAGAAGGGCACCCTCGAAAATCTGGCCCAACATAGTTCCCTAGTTATACAAATGCTTTACTCTACAAGATAGAGCTGGATGTGTGTGTGAGTGGAATTTTGAAACCATTTTCTTCTGTGAAGTCAACTTTTCCAGCCCAAACGACCTGAAATTTAACTAAACCATAAATGCTGAATGGTAAAATCACTGTCAACTAGATAAAAATGCTGGGGTTTACCTAACAATTTTTTAAATGTATTTTATGGATTTTGGGATTTTAAAGTTCAACCCAAATATTCAGATGTGTGCAGTGCATTTTATGGAGGACTGTTTCCTGGGAGAGTAGACTACAATGTCGGCTGTTCTGACTCATAGACTGTAAGTACATTTTTCATATTTAAAGGATTTGCCACTGATGATTCAAACACGAGTTTTGAGCAGTGTAGAGTAGCGCTTGTTGTTTGTAATTTCTCTGATCACAAATGCAGACATGGTTTTATGTTTACACGGCGCGATGCAACGCAACGCGTAAAAAGACAGTATAAATCATTATAATCCATAATTATGTCCCCACTGGATGCAACAAATGCCTCGTTTATAATGGGTTTTAATGTTTTTGTCTCTTAACGTGACTAACTGATGAAACACAGTTTGAAAACCAAAATATGTCTACTGTAATGTCTGAAGAATGACAGATAATATCATTGCTCCTGCTGCACCTATGGTACGGCAGCAAAGTTTAAATAGGAAAAATATCGAAACTCTTTGGTCATTTTTGAGCATGATGCTAATGGTCTAATTAGATTCAATGATCTATGCTAAGCTACAGCTAAAAGTGCTACCGCCAAAATGGTAAACATTCTTTATTATTACACGAAGTAATTAGAACAACGACAGTCTACATTAATCTACACATTCTTAGGAAATAGTGGGTTCACAGCTAATTATCAGACCTATTTCAGTAAAACAGTAATATTGTGCTTTACCTGGAAACCTAAAGCTGCACTAGGTATACATCACATTAGCACAAAAAAAAAACTAGATATTTTGAGCACTCAGTTGAAAATGTACACATAACGTATCAATCATACTTACAGGTTGTGGTTCGGAGACGCTTGTTGGTCCAAATAAAGAAGATTAGAAGCCAACGAAGATAAAAGGCAAGATTAGAGAAGCAGTCCTCAGTAAAATGACGAGCACAACAAAAGGTTCGAATTGTATTGCTGTGGTATCGTGGAACACAGCATCTTCTCGACACAGAGAGTGTTCGTATTTCGCGGGCAGGCGGGGATTATGCTAATGTGTTACCCAGTGACGTAGATCGGTAACAGGCAGAAGATGCGAAAATATAACGACTCATTAAGGCGATTCTGAGTCGACTCTTTCTTTTGAGAGACAATATCTTTATTTATCATGCACTTTTTTTGATTAACAACTTTGCAGACTGTTTACATTGAAGGATAGCTACCTTGCAAACTGCAAAAGAGATATTTTTCGAAAATCCATATGACCTGCTCTTTAAAATAGTATCGAAAATTTGAAAAATATTTGTTGCAGAATGCTGAACACGTTTACAATTTATTATTGTTTCAGTTTATATAGAGGTCTATGTTGTGGATGAATATTTTGGAGCCCCACCTGCCCATATAGACGAGCCGCGCCTGTATATAATAATAATAATAATTATTATTATTATTATGTTAGTAAGACCATTACATATTTAGAAACACAGAAAAGTTGATTTAATGAAACACAGGATATTGATTTAATGATACATCAAGACTTAAAACAGTGACATGTATGATTTCAGACATAACTAAAGTAGACAATATTATTCATGGGTCTTCATGGATCTAGCCCATGAACAAAAATATATTATATTAATAACTCTTATATTATTATATCACATTTATACAATTAATATATTATTATTAAAATTATATTATTAATATACAATTTGTAAAAAAATATATTATGTCATATTATTATTTTACTATAATAATAATAATAATAATAATAATAATGGTATTATTTATTTTATCATAAGTATTATAAACGTAATTATATTATAAACATTATTATTATTATTATTATTAAAAGGGTAATAATATATCGGGCACACCATTAAATATTACGAAACAGAAAAGCTCAGGATGTTGATTTTAAGATCAGGAATTAATACAGTGACATGCATGATGTAAGACATACACAGTAGTATTGATGGGCTAGTCCTGTGTCTGCCCAGCCCTCTCTGTTGGGTCCCCCTGCGTGAGCTGCTGCATTTCAGACCTGCCCTGAGATCCGCCGCACAGCACGCCACTCCAGACGACTCCGCGCATTCAATACATCACAATCCGCGCAGCCAAGGAAACCCAGCAAAACTCTGCCCCCCAAATCCCCGGACCCTCAGGGTGGGGTAGAGACTCAGAGAAGAAGCAGCTCAAACAAAAGCACTCCTCTTGGCTTTAAGATTAAAAAAATACCAGCTGCAAAAAAAAAGTTCAGATACAAACTCAAGACGATAAGCGGAACCGATCGGCGTCTCCACATTTTCATGCAAAACTTTTCCTGAAGCCACTGAACGAGCAGCGAGCATCAAACTGACGGACTGAAAATGGCAATCTCATGGACACTCGTTGTATTAGGTGAGTTTTCGTTCATATGCGTTAGCATGCTACTTAGATGTTAATTAAACGTAAACATTTCTCATAATTAATCATTAGTGGTGTCAATCTAACGCGATATATAGCTAACTTTGCTCAGGTTGATAATTCAAACACCTCATTTGAATATAAACTGTTTTTGATTTCAGAACTTGTTTAAATATGTAAATTCTTTCAGCGTTCTCACATAATTCCCAACGATAACCATTTAAACCGTTAGGTGTGATGTGAACTAGGCTACTTATTCAGTCAGTTTCTCTAGCAGGAATAGCCTTCAGGTCCAATTTAACATTTAATTCACACTTAGAAGTGGCGATTGTTTAAATTTATTAATGGGTCAAAAAATAAGCAATATTGTATCAGAAATTGAGCTGTGTAAGGCAGTAGCGGCTCCTGACCGTAAATTTAGGTGGGGCAGATTCTGGGTCGTAGCACTAATATAAGAAAAACATTTGGTAAACTTTATATTCTTATCTCTGAACACATGCGGACAAAATTTTGGCAGAGATGTCCTTGCGTTATCCTGTGGGTGGAGCACTAATGTTGATTGACAGGCTCGGAGAACACGCATAAAATGCTGTATTATAATTGCCTTAATATAGCATTTATCACCTCCAAATGTTGATTTAGAATGTTACAAGTTGTGGAGCAATTCGGGTGAGGAAAGACGATCATATGTCTATTCTCAGAATAATAATAAAACAAACACAATATAACCATATAAAGGCTATTCATGTGAGCACATTTAAACTAAAGGATTTATACTTTGTTAATTTGATCCACTACTCCACACAGAAAAATAACAGACACGCCAACTAGTTACTGACCTGTTGCAGACACATAGCTGAAGCGGATTGATATCGTCTTGGTGGAGCGAGGTTCACGTAAGGTAACGTGAAAATGAGCGGGGCAGTCTCAAAACTGCCCCAATGGCTCTCAATTAAAGCGCGCTGCAGTTCCCCTTTTCACCACAGATGTACGTTGCAAAATTGTGGGGCGCTGTTGAGCTCGGGAGGTCTCAGGCACCGTCTGCCCCGCTTAGTATCATGTATACATGCCTGCTAAAGCCATGCGGGGCATTTTAATATATACTGCTTACTTTACGACTTTAAATAGTATCGAAAATCTGAAAAATATTTGTTGCAGAATGCTGAACACATTTAAAATGTATTATTGTTTCAGTTTATATAGAGGTCTATGTAGTGGATGCATATTTTGGTGGGGCTCTGCGAGCCGTGCCTGGTGTAAGGGGAAAGAAACACTTCCCAGCTAACAAGGAACGTTTTCAGAACTTTGGGGATAATGTTCTGGCAAAGTTCTCTCAAAGCTATGAACAAACATTCTTCCAGTAATGTTAATATATAACATGCGTTATTGTCCATGGAACGTTTTATTTCAGAAACTTTTTAGTTGGACATCTATCATTATTATTATTATTTTAATGTTACTACTTGTTTCAGAACATTCAGAGAGCATTTAAAAGTAACATTGCCATAATGTTTTATTTTATTATTATTATTTTGTTTTTATATTACCGCATGTTGTGTATGCGTAAAAAATCCTGCAAAGAGATCTGTTAAGTGCAGCATCTGTGCCACTCAACATTTCTGTCAGCTGCTTTGCTGAAACTACAAACAGTGACACAAAGCGTCTCAGACTCAAGAGGGATGTGAGGGAGGACTGTTTTTCTTTAATTATCAGTGCGGTGCACCTGCCTGTCCAGACATCAGCCTGACAGTCATTAGAAAAGTGCTCGTGTTTTGTTTAGCCAACCTTGTAAAAAGCACCATAAGCACTTTTGACTCTGCGCTGTCTCAGTCAGCCTTTTCTAAAAGGTCTGGTTAATTGTTTGAAATTGCTTTCTTGTAGTGCAAAAAATGAGGATGTTGTAATCTCAGCTTTTCTGAACTTATATTGATAAAATTTAGGCCTGTCTTCATGTTGTTTACCTCAGAGCATTTATAAAGGCTTCCTGTGTTGATAAACCTGAGTTTTGAGGGCTTCCTTGTGTTGCATGAGGTTTCCTCCATCCTCTACTGTCAAGAAAGCCTCAACATTTAAGTATTTAAGTATTCTTTGGCAGTGCCGCTGCAATGGAGCAGCTCTAATGCTATTAAATTAAAGATGATGTACCACAGAGCAAAAAAATGAACAGGGAAAGTAACAAAAACTTGTAGAATACATTTTAATGGGCATAATTAAGTGTGAAAATAACCGAAGGATATACAGTCAAACCAAAAATTATTCAGAGACCAGATAAAGTGGTATCGGTGCATCCCTAGTATTCTGTCAACATCCCTGTTCCCAGGGAAGGTGTGGCACTTATTTCCTCTTTCCTCTGCTCCGTTCCTCTTGCTCTCTTCAAGCTCATTTCAAATAGCCAGTTTAGTTTGCATTACAGCTATGAACTAAAATCTGGTGATCAAAATAATTCCTAAATCACGGTACGAGTAATTTTATACCACCACAATAATAATAATGAAAAAGAAATAGTTGAATAAAATTGGAATAGATGGTGTATTTAATGACAAATACTTTTAAAATATATTTTTTTAAATCTGGAAACAAACCTCACAAACCTCAAGCTCAAAAGTTTGTGATCAGTTATATTTCTTAATGGTTTTTTTTTAAGAAGTCTCTCATGCTTACTAAGGCTGCATTTATTCGATCAACAATACTAAGAGAGAAAAAAAACAATAATATTGTCAAATATTATTACAATTTAAAACAACTGATTTTTATTTTAATGTATTTTGCAATTAATTGTATTCCTGTGATAACAAAGCTGAATTTTCAGCATCATTACTCCAGTTTTCAGTGTCACATGATCCTTCAGAAATCATTCTAATATGCTGATTTGATGCTCAATTATTAATAATGGTTCTTAAATATTATCAGTGCTAAAAACAGGTTTTGCCACTTAATATTTTTTGTGTAAAACAACCTTTTTTCAGCATACTTTGATGAATAGAAAACTCAAAACAACAGATTTTTTTGAGTATATTTTTATCAGCTAAAACTTTATTTTGACCCAACTAAGCATCATGGCCTCAAACTATTAGGAACTATTCATGGCCTAAAAGCCACAAAACTCCAATTCTGATTTCTTTTAGTCTTAATGTGGCACCTAGAAGTAAAGTAATTCCCTGCTTAACGTGAGAGCGTCTAATATTTATAAGGGAGATGTGTAAGGGAAAAAGCGCGTATCTTGAGATTGCAAAGATGGCCCCACCGTCATTCTCCCCTCCTTTTCTCATCTGCTTATTATGTATAACATCTGCAACTGGCACTGCCACGATCTTCAACTCCCTTCTCTAATCCAACCTCTAACCCGGCCTCCCCTCTCTACCCATGAATCCTTCACTTTATCACAGATACTTTGCACCATTAGCAGCTAGTCTTTCTTAAGCCAAAAAAAAAAACCAAAAATGAACACATTCTCCAGCAGATGAGCTCAAATGCAGCTCATAAATACAGTGTTTGCAATTATTCAAAAACTCTTTATCCTTAAATGAGAAAAAAAAAAAAATGTGGCACTTCAGCTTCGATAATTCACACTCTTGAGTATTTAGTCCTCAAAAAACTTGATACAGTTCTATTGGTACACTATAATGACATCTAATAATGTGTGTCATGAGGAATGCGTTCGAGTCAGGCACATAAATGCCCGCTGACCTTGTTCGGCCTCTGTCCAGTTCTCTCAGACTCCTTCTTCCTTTCTTCTGTCTGTCTTTCATTCATTGTGTGCATTTTTATATTCACAGTCTCTCTCCTCACCTCAATAGAAGGGGTTAGTTGTGACTTAGCTCCGTAAAGGAGCCCCCCAATCCCCATCTTCCCTGCCCCCCTCCCGTTGGGCTGATGGGCCTGTTCAGTTACCCCTGAATAGGACACTATCATGGGGAGAGCTAGGGGCCCAGAGAGGTCCTGCACACAGCTGGGGAGGGGGTGGTAGACTGAGGGTGTGCACGTCCTATTCAAAGAAATTAGTACAATACAATGTAATACAACTTTATTAATGCCCAAACTGCAATTAAGGAACGATTTACACCTTTATTAATGCCCTTAAAACATAACACTCCTGGCAACAAAACTGCCCCTTCAAACGAAAGATTTTACTTTTAGACAAAGCTGGATAAACTGAGTCAGTACAAACTTATTAGAGTTAACATTGGCATTTTCACAAACTTTTCACTACCAGTCAGAAGTATGGAATAATTATGTATTTGAAAGAAGTCTTTTATTTTCACCAAGGCTGCATTTATTTGATCAAAAATACAACAAAAAGAGTATTATTGTGAAATATGATTAGTTTACAAAATAACAGCTTTCCGTTTATTAGAATTGTAACAATAAATTGTTACATTGTAATGATATTTAATTTCCTGTCATGGCAAAGCTGCAGTTTCAGCAGCCAAAAAAGTATCACGGTTTCCACAAAAATATTAAGCAGTAAAAACTGTTATTAATAACAGAGCACCAAATCAGCATTTTACAATGATTTCTGAAGGATCATGTGAACCTGAAGACTGGTGTAATGATGCTGAAAATTCAGCTTTCCAATCACAGGAATAAATTACATTTTAAAATATATTAAAATAGAAAACTGTTATTTTAAACTGTTATAATCTTTCACAATATTACAGTTGTCAGCCTTGGTGAGCATAATAGGTTTCTTTTAAAAACATCTCAATTATCCCAAACAAGACTTTCAACCAACGTTCTGGCAGCAATCCTGAGACACAATTCATGAGAAAAAGACAGTATTTTAGGCTACAAATACAGGATCACCTACATTTGATCTGATACCAGTCTTTAAGACGAGTGAGTTGAGCTCTTGCTATGTGGGATTACTGAAACAGTGCCTCCAGAATCTCAGTGAGAGTGTGGGAGTTTGTAGGACAGATATAAGAGCGTATCATATGCCTCTGTGAGGGGTTACTCACGAGTACGATGTATCTACGCAGGTGAAATGTCTGGGT